CTCTGAGCCTGGTCCCTGAGCTCTTCAGCTCAAGGCTAGCGCTCTACCACTTGAGCCATAGCACCACTTTTGGCTTTTTCTGCTTATGTGGTGCTGAGGAATCAAACCCAGGGCCTCATGCATGCAAGGCAAGCGCTCCACCACTGAGCCACCTTCCCAGCCCACTTTTGCCCTTTGAACAGTCTACCCTCTGGGTGTTCTGTGACCAGTCCTGGACAGAAAGGTACTGGAGCTTTGTGCCTGTCTCAGAGGAGCTTGCTTCCCCTGGGAGAGGGCGGAGCGGAGAACAGGGTGTCTGGTAGGAAAGTGGTGAGATGGAGCAGGCCGAAGCAGGGAGGGTTCTGTGGTCATTGGGTAGGCCGCGCAGACGCCCCGAGGGAGCGCCCCATGTTCTGTTGTCTTCATGGGGACCGAGGTTGGCGCAGTGGTGAATGAGGCAGTGTCTGTGATTGTTCGGGGCTGATGGAGAGTGGCCGTGTCCGCAGCAGGAGGCCCCGGGCCGCAGGGCGCGGGGCTCTGCAGGGGTGTCCTTGCGTACTTGTTCACCTCCTGCCCACCTCTGCCCCTTCCAGCATGTCCCGTTCGTTTGGGGAGAGCTATCGAGTGGGCAGTACCAAGGGCATCCACGCCCTCACCGTCTTCTGTTCTTGGGACTACAAAGTGACCCAGAAGTGGGCCTCCCGTGTCCAGCAGGACGGCATTCGGACCCAGCTGAAGGTGAGCAGCGGCGTCCAGCTTCACAGGACCTGCCCCGCCCCTCCTAGGCCCCGGGGGCTCCTCCTGGGACCAGTGCTCTGTATGTTCTGGCCGTGAGCTCTGGCCGGGGCCAGCTGAGCACGCTGCTTCTGTTCGCGGGGGGTGTGCCATGCTCTCTAGTCAGGGCATGGCCACCGTGGGCTCGGGGTGAGGCTACCAGAGAAACACGCACAGAGGTCAAGTTCTTTTTTTTTTTTTTTTGCTGGTCCTGGGGCTTGAACTCAGGGCCTGGACTCTGTCCCTCAGCCTCTTTGTGCTCAAGACTAGCACTCTACCACTTGAACCAAGTATCACTTCTGGCTGGTTTATTGGAGATAAGAGTCTCACAAACTTTTCTGGCTTTGAACCAGGATCCTCTGATCTCAGCCTCCTGAGTAGCTGGGATCACAGGCGTGAGCCACCCGTGCCCAGCTTCAGGTTCTTTGCCTACGGTTGTGGGAGTTCTCGGTTCTTCCGGGGCTTTCCCACTGCGGTGGTCTGGCTTGTGGCTCCTGTGGGCCCAGGTCGAGGGCAAGCTGCGCGCCCAGGGCCCTGCGCGGGATCCCTGTGCTCCCCACAGCTGGCAGCGGCCCGGCCCCTTGTCCGTGCCCATGTGTCAGCTGTGGGTGACTGACAGGGCTCTTCTGCCCTTACAGGAGCTGCTGGCCGAGTGGCAGCTGCGCAGCAGCCCGCGGAGCGCGTGTGGCAGCGTGCAGCGGGGGCTGGCGCGGGGGCTGGTGTGGCTGCTGTGTCTGGGGACCTCGCTGGGCTGCGCTGTGGCTGTGCTCACCTTCTCAGAGGTCACCATCCAGGTGTGGCAGGGCGGGGAGAGGGGGCCTGGCCTTGAGCCCTGACCTGCCACCCCACTCGCCCGACTTCCCACGCCCCCAGTCTGTCTGGGACCTGCCTGGGTTTGTCTTTTTGTTTTGGTCCCCTGCGCACTTCCTGTGTGGTTTCAACTGAGCCCTGGGAGAGCTAAGTGTTTTCCGGCCAGGTGCTGAGCAGCTCCCCGCCCACGGGCTCCGTCACCTGTTTTGGTTGCGGGTGCTTCCTCTTCTGTGCGTGTGTGTGCACACATGTGCGCAAGGTCTGGGCCTACCCTTGAGCTTCCTTATCTTCTCTTTGCGTGTGTGCGTGTGTGTGTGTGTACATGCACACGCGCACATGCAGGGTCTGGGCCTACCCCTGAGCTTCCTTTTCTTTTTTCTCTGTGCGCATGTGTGTGTGTGTGTGTGTATGTACCCACATGTGCAAGGTCTGGCCCTACCTGAGCTTCCTGCTCCAGGCTGGCGCTCTGTGGTGGTAGGGCGCCTCCCACTGAGCAGAAAGCATTAGCCAGTTTGAGTCCCAGTGTTGGATGAAAAAAAGCTAGTGCTCTACCACTTGAGCCACAGGTCCACTTAGGGCTTTTTGATGGTTAATTGGTGATAACATTTATCTTCCCGACTTTCCTGCCTGGGCTGGCTTTGAACCGCGATCTTCAGCCTCCTGAGTGGCTAGGGTTCCAGGCCTGAGCCACCAGCGCCCCCAGGTTTCTTTGTGTGCATGTGTCTGCTAGTCATGGGGTTTGAACTCAGGGTCTGGGCACTGCCCCTTAGCTTTTATGCTCAAAGGTGGTGCTGTACTACTTGAGCCACAGCCCCACCTCCAGCTTTTTGCTGGCTAATCAGAGATAAGACTCTCACAGATTTTGCTCTTGAGTAGCTAGGATGACGGATAAGAGCCCCTGCGCCCTCCGCGACCCGGCCCTCCCCTGCCACCCCTGCAGAACCCCGGGACAGGCAGCCAGGAGGCACGATCGCTCGCCCTGCCCCTGGTGGTCAGCCTCCTCAATCTGGGGGCCCCCTACCTGTTCCGCGGTCTCGCCAGCTTGGAGCAGCACGAGAGCCCCATACTGGAGGTGTATGTGGCCATCTGCAGGTGGGTGTTGGGGCACAGGGGTGGCGTGGGGCTCCCTCCCCGCCCCCCTCCCGCTACCCCTGTGTCTGCTGCCCTGGCAACCCTCCCTCAGCCTCGGCCCCGCTGGCCCCGCGCAGGAACCTCATCCTCAAGCTGGCCGTCCTGGCTGTGCTGTGCTACCACTGGCTGGGCCGCAGGGTGGCCGCGCTGCAGGGCCGCTGCTGGGAGGACTTTGTGGGCCAGGAGCTGTACCGCTTCACGGTGATGGATTTCTTCTTCACGCTGCTCGACACGCTGTTTGGGGAGCTGGTGTGGAGGTGAGGGCTCCTCCCACCTTGTGTCCTTTCCAGTCCTCTGGGCCCCTGGCTGCGCTGGGTCTCCCCCAACAGCACCTGGGGAGGCCGTAGGAGGCAGGAAGTGCCCTAATTTTGGATGGGAAAGAAAATGAAGTTCCAGCGGAGTGTGTTTAGTCAAGGTCTTATCTGTAGGAAACCAGAATGAGTGGGTGGGGCAGGCGCGCTCTGTGTGTGTGTGTGTGTGTGTGTGTGTGTGTGTGTGTGT